GCGCAATAAGGCCAAGTCAACAAATATAAGATTATTTAACCCTCACTGCATGTAACTTAACACATTCATCTAATAGCAAACTTACATCAATATGAGCCCTACAAAGCAAAAAGCAAGCAACATTAGAGCATCTAGCACTAAAAGCATCACATAAAAAGGCAGTCCTACCTCTGATGCTCCTGAAGATCTCTAATCACTAGCATGCATCACTACCAGCTCATACAACAAGCATAAAGGCGTCTCTCCTGATCAGGCATCCTACCATGCAACACAGAGTAGATCCTTAGCCTTAATCTAGCATGAAATTTTCATATACTTACATCAAATATCAATCATATAACACGTATGGGTATTTTGGGAAATACTTACTTGAGCTCGGCTGATTGCATGCATCGTACCCTTTTCTATTAAAAAAAATTTCTTCGAAAATAAATTTATTTTAGAAAATTTTACTAAATCTTTAGTTTGAGTTCAAGAACACCTGAGAGTATGTCTGAATCCCTCAAACCAAGACTCTAATACCAACTTGTAATGCCCTAAATTTAAACCCAAAATTTTCGATTAAAACTTAAGTGTTCATTTAACTCACAACTACAAGATCTTAAAATATTTATCAAAGTATCATAAAAAGTTATCAAGTACACAAGCCCTCCATTGATGTGATGCAATCTATTTGTGCCTACTACTTTAATATAAGAAAACCTGAAACATGTAAACCACAAATCGTAAGTATAAAGCTTAGTGAGTTCCCCAAAATACCACACACAACACAACACAAATAAACAAATATTGGTTATTACCAACCATGGGGACTATCAGCAGTCCCAGTGGGCTAACAGCATGCTCGATGGGTTATAAGCAACCCTAGAGACTATCAGCAGTCCCGATCATATATAAATAGCATAACATAATAATAACAGCTAGACCCAGCTGGTCATCACAGATAAAACTATTCTACCATACAGGCTCATACAAACATGCAAGAGTTACAAAGACAGCTGGCATCCTACATATATAATTTAGTGAGCCGGCATTAGTGCCTTCGACTTACGAGCACCTAGAGAAGACTTACCTGAATCGAAGAACCCTGAAACACTACAACATGATCGCTTTTTTGCACTGCTTTCACCCACAAATCCACTTATACCAGAACCAGATAAAATCATATTTAATAGCCTAAAACCCTCAAGTTTGACCCAAGGTCAAACTTGTTCAAAAAGTCAATGTCAATGAAAGTCAAAGTCAACAAGTCAAACTTCATGTTGAGTATGACCAACTTACTCAGCTGATACACATGGCATACTCACCATCCAGGGATAGGACTCCTCACGAGTATGCGTAGCGTACCCAAATGTATACGTATCGTACTCGACCAAAAGGCAATTTTCATTAAGTGCTTAATCTCTTAAGCTCTTTCATCCAACACTTAGATCTAGTCCCACAACATCATTCTAAGTTATAAAGGTTCCACCATTATGACTTTTCATGTCTAAAAAAGGTCTAAAAACCAAAACCTTAACTTATTAATCCATTAAGACATCATGTCACTTTCATGGAAGGAATAGAAGGACTATGATCACATTTTTATGGATCCTAATTGCTTCATAATGGATAAAGTTTCCAACTTTATCCATTAAAATGGTTCAAACCACCAAGATCTAGACTTTAAGTATCAAAGGGACCAAAATTGCATCTTTATTAATTTAATCCATTAAGTACAAGTCTCCAACCTTCATATATGAATCACAATGATGTTTAGATGGATAAAGTATCCAAGTTTATCCATAAGAAGGTCACAAACTTTTCAAGATCTAAACTTTATGCACTAAAATAACCAAAAACTCATAACATCCAAAACTAGCTAGATTTAACAAATCTATCATCAAGATTCAAACTTTATACCTCTATAAGAGAGATCAAGGCGAGCAAAGTCCAGATCTAAAAGCTTCAATGAAACCAACACTTCTCCAAAGAGTTCCTTTTTCTCCAAGGTGCACCATACACACTCCAGAGCACTCAAAAACACCTTCTTTTAGCTCACATGTCTCAAATTAAGGTTAGGGTTTAATGGAACGGTGTTGGAGATGTGTAGTTGAGAATCAAATGGTTTTGGGCGAGTTAAGGAGATTAGATAGGGCCCAAACCATGAAAATAGGGGTTGGGCATAGATTGCGTACCCCGATGTACTTAGGATGCCCTAATACGCCCAAAGTACTCCCCTGTACGCCCAACGTACTCATCTTTACCTAAAACCGTCCAAACTTCAAACAATCATAACTTCTTCATTTCAACTCCATGTTTGACGATCTTTATATCCACATAGAGGTATTGAATATCTCTACAACCCTATCTAATTACTTTTGAATTAAAACACATCAAACTAAATCCATAATTCATAAAAGAAATCTGAAACATTACTTTCCCATTTTACTCTTTGACTCTAAAGCACAACCGAACTCTTGGATCACACAATCTACATTGCCCACATCCAAATAGTTCTAAACCTCTCATTACCAAAGCCCTAAGCCTTATGATACTTGATCTTCGGGTCATGACCGCGAATTACGAAACGAATCGAAACAGGGTGTTACAAATTGTCTTTTTTGGAATTTGAACGAGATCTTGTCTTCGGAAAGATTTAAAGACATTCTTGGAATAAAATTCTGATTTCTAATATTTCTTCGAGATATGATAACTGCCTCAATAGCACATTTGCCCAAAGATTTAACCTGTAGTCTAGTACCATTACATAAGCCATTTGTCTGATCAATGTTTCTCAATAACATAACTTGAACACCAACTTTTGAAACGAGCTTATGATTTGGCAGACCAGAGACTTTAAGACCATTTAAAACATTAGGTGAATATAAATTTACATCAAACTGATCATGAACAAACTCGGATCGGCATAAGCTATCTAAACTTAAGTCAACTGTTTGTTCTCCTAGAAACAATGACTACAAATGATCGTTTATTTCTTAGACAACTTCATTCTAGGGAGAAAGTATAGCTCTTTCTTTAAGATAATCAACAATGTGAAGATTTCCATAATAGAAGGATATACAAAACTGATTAATGAACCTATAGGATCATATGGATTATTAATGACAATGTCTTCTGGAATATCAAAAATTGTTTCACTGTCATTCGGACCACCAAGATTACCTTCTCTTATGTCCAAAAGTCAATTTGCAAAACCCCTTATTTGTTTAAAAGCAGATGGATTGCTTCCAACGATTAACCTCATGTTTTATTAATTTATGAACTTGGCATTGTTGTCATAAATAAGAACTTAAATAAGCATTAACAATGTTTTGTCTACTGCCACCTGGAACAACAAGCAATAAAGCTTGGAAACATTTTAGGGGTCTTGTATTTATAAGTGAAAACTTAATTTGAAGATAATATTGTAATCCGTATGATTTCCTATTATGAAACACACACACACACACACACACACACACACACATATATATATATATATATATATATATATATATATATATAGTAAAGGGAATTGATATTTCCATATTAGTTTATTATGTATCCATTGAAAAAAAAAAAAGGAATCGACAATTATACCCTCATCTAAATTAAGGAAAGTTAGAAACACAATTTGAAAATACCCAACAAGTCATTTTCTTTTACCTCCTTTTCACACAAAACCTCCTCCGAACACCATCTCCGACGATCCGACGACCACCTGCTCTAAACAAACTCCTCCCTCCTCCCACCACCACTAAACCTCCATCCATCTCCATCAAAAATAGGAACCCATTGCCGACCAATATCTTCCCCCTCTTCCTTTCCCGATCACCATCTCCGACAACTCATCTCTCTCCTACAACCAACGAAAACTCTCTCCGAAGAACCTGTAACTCACTAAAACTCCACCGTAGGAACTTACAAACAACTCCCTCTGGCAAACATATGCAAACGACCGTCTTCGGCGAACTTGCAACTCAATGAAACGTAATCACCGAAACACAATGAATGATCTATATTAGGCTCTACCATTAGTGTAAAAACATCGTCTGATCCAAGATCAATTCCGGAAGTTGTTTTCTTTCGTTTAATTCTACAACTAAGGCACCATCAAGATTTTTAATCTGGTGACCTCTGTGAGAAATCAATAATACCTAAAAATTAAATCAAAATCAACAAATTGCTCCTATCACCTTTAGAAATCTGCCATCTTTCTCTTTATTATACAATTGAAGCTCTTGAAGAAGTGTTTGCCAGCTGAAGAACAAAATCGTGGGTTGTGTGATTTAGAGTTTCCAAACATTAGGTTTTTCTCTTTTGATGAAATACCTAGAAATTAAATTGAGGGTATATATATGTCCCATAAACTATTTTTTCTATGGATGTATTAAAAAGTTAAGTGGATAAATCAGTTCCTTTTGGAAAAAGATAAAGTAATTAAAAAAACATTGTTGATTTTATGCAACTATCATATTGTTCGATATTTAAATTGATTTTCAATACAGGAAACAAAGGGTTTTCCTATTAATTGTCCTAAAAATGCACCAAATTCGGCTACTGAATTGAATGATGAATTGGGTCGGAAAAAATAGAGTATAAAGTCGGAGAGAATGCCACATGGCAATAGACTTGACTATAAAAAGGACACGTGACGTTTAGGAGAGGTTTTTATTAAGAGTGGAAATAATTCAACACATACAAAAGAAGGGCATAACTTAAAAAGATATATACAAAATACGTTGTCATTATATAACTTTAATCATACCTTATAATACTGTCAAGCCGAGGTCATTGGCGGCACGTGCGTACCACACGTTGGTGGAGATCCAAAATTTCAAATTGCTTCGATTTTAAAACATTATCACTAAATTCCACTGGCCACCCCACTAAAACTAGAAATCATATGCCACTATAAATATCAAACACTGGTGTCAAGCACTTGCAACACACAACACAAAAAAAAAAAAACAAAAAAGTGTCGGATTGTACAGAGAGAGAAAGCTAAAACAAGTAAAATGATTCATGTAGAGGAGGATGAAACCCTAAGAAAAGGTCCCTGGACTGAACATGAAGATGTTCAGTTGGCTTTTTACGTGAACATGTTTGGTGATCGCCGATGGGATTTCATAGCAAAAGTTTCAGGTTTGAAGGTGGCGGGAGATACAAATATCAAAATTTAGGTCTAGGGTTACCATTTATGTTCCAGGAGAAGCCAACAAAAGATTATTTATCTCAAAAAAAAATATTTAACTTGTTTTTGCCCTTGTGTTCTACCCAAATAAATCTTTTGGGGGGGAACTTTTTTTGGTGAAATTTTACGTTTATCAGGTTTAAAACGAACCGGAAAAAGTTGCAGACTGAGATGGGTGAATTATCTGCATCCCGGGTTGAAAAGAGGAAGGATGACACCTCATGAAGAGAGGCTAGTTCTTGAATACCATTCGAAATGGGGAAACAGGTTTGATCACTTTATTTTATTTTATTAATTTATTCTTCGGTTTTGATATTGCTTAGAGTATTGTTATATGGTTTTTGTTCTTTATTCTTTTCTAATGGTTGTCGATAATTCTCATCGCTTAAAGTTTTATATGCTGATTCATTATTGATGTATATGCTTTCATTTAATATATTCTTGAACAGGGATCTGATTGATTAAATCAATTTAATTCTCATCATGGGGTTACAAAAGTTGTACTCAATCATATATTTTTTGAGTATGTGATTTAGTCAACTATATATATTCACGATTTTATGTTTTCTAACAATGAATAGTATGTTCTTTTATTTATGTTTATGCGACATATATCAATTATGTGGTTAATATTGTTCGTTTAACTCACTTTATATTGTGTATAGACTATCTTTACTACCTAAAAGATTACAAAATTTTATTTCGTTAAACATAATGTGGGTACCATGATTAATGAAATGCAGATGGTCAAGAATCGCTAGAAAATTACCGGGGCGTACTGATAACGAGATTAAGAATTATTGGAGGACTCACATGAGGAAAAAAGCTCAAGAACACAAAAGGGTTTCATCTCCATCTTCATCCTTCTCTAACAGCTCTTCATCCTCATCAATCTGTACTAACGATCCCACAGTTGAATCGATGCCCATGAATGAGACGAAAGAACGAAGCTTTTATGACACAGGAGGGATCGAAATGGTGCCTGCTTCTAGAGGCAAAAACAGCAACACTTCAATGAAGCATAATAAAGATACTAGTGAAGAACAGGAGAAGATCTATTCGATGGATGAGATATGGAAAGATATAGATTTGTTAGAAAATGATGATCTTAAACCGAGTTTTGATCCTTATAGCGACGTTTCACCTTCTCGGATATGGGATTATTCAGTCAACAGTTTTTGGATGATGGATGGTGGTCAACAAGAGTTTGGTACAGATATGTTTTTCCCGGCAACAAGCGAGTTGTTAACAGGTTAAGTAGCGGTATTCCATTATTAATTTGGTGATCGTAGTTGCAATAATTTCCTCAAGGTACTTGTATATATTTTTTATGGGGTGATATTAAGCTATGTCGATCTGTGTTATATTGAGGAAATAACCTTTGTAAGTATCTTATGTTTTGTTTTTGGTTACCCTAATTAAATCTTACACTTAGGCTCATAATAAACTTCATTAATAACAAAAACTAGATAATAAAGATTAAAAGAATGCAAAATGAATGACCCAAGTTGAATTTGGTTTTGAAAGTTAAATAGCATGGGCATAAACGACAAATCGATATTGTTTATGTGAAAACTTCGTATAGAGCTCTGATCAATCAAAAAACTAAAGCTCGAATTCATAACAAAATATTCACTGCAAATAATTTGTAACTATTGATTTTGAACAAAAAAGGTCTTGACAAATTAAAATTGGATTTTATAAGTACATCTTGTCAAAATGTAAATGTCTTGTAAACAAATTATTCAAACTCATTAAATCTTTTGATTCTCTTTTCCCAATGAATTAATTATAACTGATGCATATTCTTCAACTCTCTTTCATTGACAACAAACTTTTACCGGAAAACAAGCAACCCGACAGAAAATCATATTATATATGCACACCTACATAAAATAAGTAAGTAATATTGTTTTATTTTAAGGTAAGGAATGAAAGTTCAAATTAATAATAAAAAAATATATTGTATGTGTAGGAAGCCACAAAACATATATAAAAAACACGAAAAAATATTTTATAAAAAGTCAACATATAAATGAAAGTTACATATCACTACAAAAAGAATGGGTAATAGCGGCGACGGGTGTCGTCGCTAAAGGTTAGGGTTGTCGTCGCTAATACCTTTAGTGGCGATTTGTCGCTGCAAATGCGTCGCCGGTGATGCTTCGTTGCTAATACACATCTAGTCGCCGCTAAAGGGTCTTCGTCGCCGCTATTGACATGTCGCCGCTAATACTGTTTTTAAAAAAAAAAAAGGTCAAAATATAAAAAACAATATAACATTTATAAAATCAGATAACTTTTTATAGAAATATTAATCCATATACAACCAATTCAAAATATTAATTCATACACAACCAATCCAAAATATTAATCCATACCACAACTAAGTATTCTACCAAAGTACAAAACATTTCAAAAAATCCTAAAATAACTACTCGTCCTCATCATTTCCTTCATTATTTGGTGGTGTCAATCAATACGTTTTCACTTTCCTCTACAACCATTGGATTGAAAACAAATCGGACAGATGGGAGTAATTTGACGCGGATCGCTGTTAGTGAGCATTAGCGGCAACGTTAGGCAATACCGGCAACATATAATGCATCAATTACATGTCGCCGCTATTGTCCGGCGTCGTTGTTAAAGTCGTCGCCGGTAATGTTAACATTTCTTTATTACAAAGTTAAAAATGAAATAAACAAAATGAGGAAAAAAAAACAAAGAGTTAAGATGAAGCAAAGTAGGACAAACAAACAGAAATTAAAAGTTAAAAAAAAAAAATAAAAAAGTACGCCAAGCAATATATATATATATATATATATATATATATATATATATATATATATATATATATATATATATATATATATATATATATATAATATATATAGATCCGGTAATAAATTTTTTTTAGTAGAAAGGTAAGAAATTTTTGTTCTACTTATTTTTTTGGCGAAAAAGAAAACAAATGAATCAATAATAACATGATTCACCAAAAAAAATTCCGAAAAAACACTTTGATGATCCATTTTTATGATAATTTTGTTGATATTCACTAAAATTGTCATAAAAGTGAATTTTTTTCTTGATTTACCTAAAAATGAATCATGAAGGTATTTTTTTCGGAATTTTTTCTTGTGAATCATCTTATTTTTGAATCATCTAATAATTCATTTCATTTTTTACTAAGAAAATATGCATATAAAAAAAAATTTTACCTTCCTACCAAAAATTTCATTCTTATTTGATATTGACTCTCTCTCTCTCTCTCTCTCTCTCTCTCTCTATATATATATATATATATATATATATATATATATATATATATATATATGGAAAAGTGAATATACCCTTAAGGGTATATAAAATTACGTACCCAAACTCACTATTATGTCGTTTTGTATCATATAATACATTATAATTATTCTAATTATCCAATGTTCTTATAAATTAACTTTTAACTTAATTACTTTTATGATTTTTATAAATTACACATTTATCTTCCTATTACATAATTTTTATTTTCAACTACAGAATATATAGCCTAGTAGGTGTTTGGCAAAAACATGTGATGTAAAAGAAAGATAATAGTGAAATTTCAAAATTTTTGAAAATAAATCAAGTTAAGAGTTGAAGTTTAAGAACATTATAATGAATATATTAAACAAAACGATATATTATGGTGTGTTTGGGTATGTAAGCTTATATACCTTAAGGGTATATATATATATATATATATATATATATATATATATATATATATATATATATATATATATATATATATATATATATATATATATATATATATATATATATATATCACCACGTGATAAGTGATAAGGGGAGGACTAATTAGCTTTGTGTGGTATGTGGAAGCCTTCTCCACTATGGAGATTTGAAGTAAGAAAGCACAAGTTGTTCCATTTGATAATGTAAAGCACATTTTAATGAAGTGGAATGATTTGTAGGAGGTAGGTTTCATACAGTGTAAGCAACTATTATGGGAAAAAAGGCAACTTCCACTTTAGAAAATTACATATCATATATATTTGATTATATCTCTTTTATTTAGTTTAAGTGCATTTATAAGAAATATTTTTTTTTTTCATCTAAAAAAAAGTTAACGAAATGTATTTGAACAAATGCCAAGTTGTTCAAATATATATCTACCAAATGACTGTTTGTCCACTTCTAATGGAATAAGAGTAGCCAACAATCAATAAACACGTTTTTATCAAAGATATAAGACACTTTTTTTTTAACAGCATAAGTTTTTTAATAAAATAACATTCAATTGTCTTAACTTAGCATAAGATAGAAAACTTTGACCCACACAACTTCCTAGCCAAATCCTAATTGAGGAGCACGTGATCCAAGACAAAATATAAGGTTATTAACATAGACTTAATAACCTTTCTAACCCAAAAAAACGTGAACAGATTATCTACACCCACTTCTATCGCTCTCATAAAGGACAACATTCTCTCTTTTCACTTCAAAATTCCTTGGGTCCTCTTTTCTCTTTCTAGTAACAAAGGTCTACACCAAGCCCAATAGAAGTTCCATACAAAAATAGATAGGCTCAACAATATTGCATTCCCTAATAGATTAAAACGGTATTTTAGGAAAATTTCTTTATTTTTGGTATTATTCTTTGTTTCTCCCTACATTAGTATTAGACTATGTCTTTCTCGTCTGGTATAAATAGGACCCAAGGATTTGATGTTTGTTATTCATTTTTTATATTTTCCTGAATAAAACTTGGTGATTGAGTATTATTTCCCTTGTTTTCCCCTACTCTGTCGTTCTTGTTCCCCTACACTTCTATTTCTCACATGTTGGTTGTGATCAAGGTAACAAAACAGATTCTGTGATCATGTTCTCAGCTTACATTTTCCACATCATCGTGTTTGTTCTTCTAGTTCACTCGTCACCAAATCTTTTGTTTTCCCCATGAATCAATTTTACTATCCTTCATCCATATTGTATATGGACTAATGAGAAAGGAAGAAAAACGTTAGGGTATGTATAATGTTTTATATACATTCATTTTCCTAACTGAAGACAAACATGACATCATTGGCCAAGGAAATATGAGAAATTGTATACTCCTTACTTCCAATATTAACACCTCAAGCAAACCGTTTCTCTTTAGTTGCCAACATAACTCCATTGAGGCATTAAGAGAAAGGGTGCAAGGGGTCGTCTTGTCTCAAACCAATCTAATCTTCAAACTAAATTTCTTAGTATGGGAATCATTAATGAGCACCGAAGCATAAGCATAAGAAAGACACATAAATCTAATAAAACTATTTAAAACAAATACCAATTGCTTCAAGCATGAAAGAACATATGCCCAACTTATCAAACCATATGCTTTTTCTAATCCAATTTAAATAAACAAAATTTGTTCTTCATAAACTTCATTAACTTCATCCCACCATTATAGGTAAAAGAAGGCTAGACATTCTTGTACTAGTCAAAAACTTGTTTTGAAAAAGAAAAAAAAAATTACTTCCACGCTGTTTGGATTTTCTGTTCAACATACACCATTTATCAAGTTTCTTTGACGCACAAAATCAATGTATCCATGAAAGCGTCTTGTATTTTCGGTCCTCTCAACCATAGATGGAGATCCTTCATATATTTTATCCTAGTCCAAAAAATTCCTCAGGTCAAAAAAATCTTGTAAATCAATCGCATTACCCTCTCTTTTTTAAAATTAATTTTCTATTGACGCTATACGATTGCATGTCTTTTCTATCTTTCAAATACAGTTTCTCCTCCACCATGCCTATAAAGTACATTTGAAGAGTTTTTTTAATTTCTCTTTGAAAATGAAAATCATGTTAGAGTTTCTACCAATATTCACCACTTTATTCTTCTCAAAATTTGACCCATAACATGGAAAAAAAACCCATCCATAATAAGCCACTAGTGGAAATTTTAAAAAGAATAAGGCCAAAATTAGTTGTAATCTTCTTAATGGCGATGCAAAAGTGGTCTCAATATTGCTTAGGCATTAATATGGTTGTTGTGTTATCCCAGAGATTGTAAAAGATTTCAGAAACTAAGAACCTAATGGTCTTGCACTTTTTTGTGTCATTTTTATTCATCAATATTCCTCCTACCAAGAGGAGCATCAATGAGTCCCGCATCTAAAAAATATTTCTTGCACATTTTCATCCCATAAGTGTCAAGTTGAGATTCAAACCGTAACATCTTGATTTTTCACCCCAAAATTTTATTACATCCAAGAGACATCTACAATTAAGTAAGTAAGAGGACAACAAGCAAAAAGTTATGCTTTCATTCAGTTCGCCCATCATTGGTCAACCATGTCTAGAATTGTTTGTCTAGAAAAACCATTCGACTGGCTTTCCTCGTAGAGCCAATATTAACTGACTTTCCTCGTAAGTCGTAACAGACTA